TATATATATATAGCAAAATGTATAATTGTTTTTTCTTATAATTTTAATATTTTATTACCGGTTTTTTAATCTAAAAATTTTGACTACGAAAAGATTAGTTTATTTGATGTTGTAATTACGAATTGGATGCTTTCTTTTAGCTGTCATCTTTTTCTGCCGCATTTTTTTTGAATATTTATTCTCGGAAATCCTTTTCAAGCAAGCTGACAATCGTCAAATTAGATAATACTACTAGGCAATATTATTGACGTATAACTCCTCGAACGACAGTTTTATCTACAAAAATATTACGAAGAAAGCGTATTTGTGTTCAGTCGAGCGGGTGATAACATTTTGTATAATAGAATGAATGTAATAATAATTGGCTTATTGAATGAAAGTATTTTAAACGGATCTTTTTATATGCAAGATTAAAATAACAGCTGTGATAATCTTTTGTCATGTATATTAACGTGTATGACATGGAAGACAATTAAACATTTTTTTAATCAAAGAATCTCTTTTCATTTCTAAAAAAATTTAATTAGTTTAATTAAATTTAAAAATATTTTAATAATTCACTAAATCAAAAAAATATTTTATTTATTAATTAAAACAAAAAATATTTTTTTAATATAAAATATTTATACTAAAAGATTAATCGCATTTTACGTAACACAAGATAAAATAAATAAGATCTGCTAGCATTTTCCTATCTTATAAATAAATTAAAAATTTAATTTGTTGTAAATTAAATATTTGTTGTAAATTGAATTTGTTGTAAATTGAATATCGTTTATGAAATAAGGATAATAATAAAATATTCGTTGGTACTTTGAATTACTTGAGGATCCTAACAAATTTTCTACGATTTTGTTATCTCTGGTCAACGATCTCGGGTGAATGTCCGAAGACAACGATATGCAGGCGTTTTCGAGGACGATAAAAAATTCACGCGCCTACGTTACTTTATCTGGCATGGATCCGTGTACTTTGTTCGGTAACGATGCGAATTCTTAAATATAGCAATTACGTCATACGACGTAAACGTTTGTTTGTCATGGAGGGCAAGCTAGATCTAGTTCCATCTGACAAGTGTGGGCGGTTTGCCGTCGAACAATATTCCATAACAGTCGCGTAGCACAAACCCGTTTGCATAAATTATCTCCAAAATTACTGAATTCCCACAGTTACTCGCGGCAATTTAGCAATATTTTCACACACGCGATAAAAAAAATATAATAAAATATCTCTAACATTTGTGTTTGTAATCATTCTTTTTGAATTTATAATGCACTAGATAATAGTGTAACATTCAAAAAAGAGAAAAAAACGGGAGAAATTTGAATTGATCCAATAGTCCTAACAAATTTGGGGATAATATAATATCCATTCTTAAAAAAGGCATGTCAAATCAATACCCCGCAAGTATTGTTGCTTTTTTCCGCGATGCTGATTGATTATCTCGACACTGCGCTGTATATTTCTTCATATCACTAAAAGGCTGTCATAAGGCTGAGCCGCGCATTCGACAGTTCAAATACTAACAATAAGTATGTGTGTATAATTTCAATTTATTTGATTTTGAAAAAACTAGAGGGTAACTAGAGTTAATAGCTAAATAATTTTATAAATATATGTGTGTATGTGAAAAAATTAATTAACGCTGTTAAAACTTCTTCGAATTCGAAAGAACAAGATTAAAACAATAGAAAAATATAATAATTATAATAGAATAGACTATTGCGTTTCGGAAATCACAATTTTTCGTATATTGTATAAAGATATTCTAGTATTGGAAGGAGTAGATTTTTTCAAGGTAGCATCCCACAAGATATAAAAGAAACTTTTAATTTTGTTTAACCAATATTGCGAGAGATATCTCGATTTTTTTGTATGACATTTTGCGAAAACCTGACAGTATCGGGCAATCATATGAACGTGAAAAAATTAATTAATGCTGCTAATGATTAAAACTCTTTAAAAAATAAAAGATAACGGACAAAACTATAGGAAAATTATAGTAGGATAGATTTCTGTTTCTCAGAAATCAATTTTTTCTATGTCATATCACGTATTAAGATATTTCTAAGTTCCGAGGGGGATATGAAAATATTTTGGAGGCCCTTTTTCTCTATTCTCTCGATTACTGTCTTTTTTGTTTCCATTTTATTCAAAGATATTAATATAAGAAATATATAATAATTTCGGTATCTCTCTTAGTCTGACTCCTCCCCTTCGACCTGTCCGGCATGAGTGACCTTTCGGTAACTATTAGCGTTATCGAATGAAGCAAGTTTGATCGTTTTTAGAGCGATTAAACCCAATTTACCATGAATACATATTTA